TGCTTATTTTGGTGATATTTCACTTTAAATAAGGTTATTTTCATATTTTTGTTGCAGGTATATTAATTTTAGGCATTTGGAGTAAAAAGTAGCAAAAAGAAGAAAATTTGGAGCCAAAATGAAGATTTTCATGATCCTAGTGCCAAAGGCACCAATTTTCAGAGAGTTAACGCCAGAGGCGCCATTTTACAGAGAAACGACGCCAGAATCCAGAGAACAATGCAGACTTCATTAGTCTAGCGCCAGATGTGACTTTCGGGGGAAAAGTTGGAGGGAATTTTGAATTCCTTTGGAAAGAGGGCTGGCCCTAATTAAAAAGAGAAGAGTCTAGAGAAAAAGGGGGCGTGAGATAGAGAGGAAAGTTTTGGCGTGAGAGAAGATTTGAAGAAGAGAGGATTTACTTCTAGGGTTGTAAAAAAAGAGGGAAGGTGAGAGATTTCTTCTTCATTACACTTCTAAGAGAGAATTCTAAGAGAGAATTGAATCTTCTTGATTACACTTCTAAGAGAGAATTGAATGTGATTGTAAAGAGAGAATGTGCTTAAAGAGAGGAGTGTAGGATTTGCTTGGGAAGGAGTGTAAGATAAGTTGTGTTCTTTTCTTTTTTTATTTTGTAAACTTATTTTTATATATGAAATCTGTGTTTTGTTGTATTTTTCTCATGAAATCTGAGTAGTCTTCTATATCTTTCTCCCTACAAAGAAATACGGTTTTGTGAAGAATTAGTTTTGTTTTGTAAGGTTTTAAATGTCAATAAATTTTGATGATTCGAACTCTGATCTTCATTTATTTTTTGATATGACCAATTGAAAGGTTAAAATTTGTTGAGAAACATACGATTCAAAAGGGTTATGCTTTCTATAACAATGTAAGAGTCAAATTCAATTTCATGGGTGAGAATGTAATCCATGGGGTTGCGTGCAAATAAATAAGGAAATATACTTTGATTGGCGTAGAATTGGAGATTTTAAAGTGACAGATTAAAATCCCCAATTTGGTCCAGTTTCTTGAAAACTAAAGCGAGATTGTTAGCCCTCATGCGAGGGAGAAGTGAGAGCTCTGGAGTGGCATTCAGTATCTTGTCAACCTAACCATAGATTTAGGGATCAAAATCTGGATTAGTCAATGTTCTTTATGCACTCTTAGAGGATAAAGAATGTGATTGCTCCTATTTGGCACAATACAATTTAATATGTATTTTAAATAATTTTAATTTCTTCACACTCCATAAACTCATCGTAAAGAGGAATGATGTTTTTTTTTTATTTGAACTCTTCGTTTCAAAACTTTGTTTAGTCTTTGTAAGTTTAATTTTGAATTTTAGCAATTAGTTAGTTAACTTAGTTGTTTTAACTACATTTCATTCAACGCACATTAAATTTACTTTAGATTTGTTTTGCTTAATTAAGTTTTATCGTTTAAATATTGTGTTTGACATTATAACCATAAAAATTTCCAACTCCTTATGGGATCAATACTTAGGACTCAATTAAAGCCCTTTATTACTTGAGCTATATGTATACTTATGTTATTATGACGAGGTTTGACAGCTTAGAGATTTTAAGAGATAAAATTATTTATACTGGATTTATTTTTATTGAGATTGAACTGCATATTTACTATTAGTGTTGTCGTTTGTATATTGTAATATTGAAAGATATTTACAATGCATATCACAGAAATCGACCGCTGCAATCAGAAGCCAAAATAGAAATTGCATCAGCATCATGAAGACTGTCTACTCTCTTTGGAATTACTCTTTCATAGGGTCATTGAAAATTATTAGTAGTCATCTCTTCAATTAAAGAATATGATTCATCAAATGATTTTGACATTAATGAATCCCCAACAACAGCCTCAATGATAGATCTAAGAGATCACACAAACCCATTATAAAATGTTTGGATTATTAACCAATCAGACAAAATATGGTGTGGACACTTCCTAAGGAGTTCTTTAAATCGTTCACAAGCTTCATATATTGCTTCCCCTTCAAACTGACAAAAAGATGTGATATTGTTTCTAAACTTAGCAATTTTTTTATGGTGGAAAATACTTAACAAGAAATTTCTATGCTAAATCTTCTCAAGTTTTGATAGATTTATGTGTTAATGAGTTTAACCACATCTTAGCTTTGTCCCTTAGTGAAAAAGGAAAAAGCCTAAGCCTGACAACGTCATTTGACACTCCGTCATATTTAAAAATTATAAAAAACTAGCAATATGTAAATGAGGATCTTCAGATGGTGTTCCCCCAAACTGATTATTTTGCACCCAAACTGATTATTTTGCAACTGATTATTTTGCACCATTTGGATAATAACATGTTTAAGTTCAAATGAATTAGCAGCTACAGCAGGAGTTTGTAAATTTAAGTGAATTTCATCTGTTGTAGGATTAACATAATCTCTTAAAGGTCTCTGTATATGTTGATGTTCATTTTCATTATTGTGATTATTTAAATTATTTGTCATTTCGTTCAAATTGTGAAATTATTTCTGCTTTCGAATTTTTCTTATCGTCCGTTCTAATTCAGAATCATAAGACACTAATTCTTCATATCGTAAACTACGCATACACAATTAAAAGTTCAACAAATTAAATTAAATTAAACTAAAACATACAAAAATATATTATTATTATTATTATTATTATTGTATTTTTCTTTATATCTTTAAAATAAGCACACAAAGAGAAACTTATATATATATAAACTACAGTACGATTTTTCTAAAATAAGTTTTACAGTCAAATAAAGTCTTCTAAGTTAAAAAGAAAATTTTCCGTTACTTTCCCAACAATAGCGCTAAAAACTTGATTGAGATATGGATGTTACGACAGCAGCAACAATAATATAATTTACGATAGTTAATATTTCTTTAAATCTTTACAGCTACCACTCTTAGCAATTTAAGATATTATTTATCGATTTCAAATATTTGTTAGGACGTTAACGCAAGTATACACATCATTCAAGTAATACATGACTCTAATGGAGTCCTAAGTATCAATCCCACATGGAAGTTTGGAACTCTATAATATTAACTCGAAACTCTAATTAAACAACAAAAATCTTAACTAGAAATGCAGGTTGAAATTTATGTTTTTAAACTAAATAAATTATATCTACTACTCTTATCTCTAAACATAAAAAAAAAATTAAGTTCACTAAAACTAAGTTTTATGAAGAAGAGATCAAATTTTAGAAAGTATCCTTCCCTTTGTAATGAGATTATAATCAGTGAAAAGTTTAAATTGTTATAAGTTATATTGTGTCAAATAGGAGCATACCTATTATTTACCCTCTTATAAGTGCATAAAGAATATTGGTTAATCCAGAGTCAAGTTCCAATATTCTTGATTAGGCTAGGAAGATACTAGCTCTCACTTTAGACTTCCCACTATCCCTCCACCTGCAGGTTAACATCTAACCTTAGGTTCTCAACCTCTAGATCAAATTGAAGGTTCTAGTCTGTCACTCTAGAATCACCAATTTACGCCCCTAGAAACTTATTTCCCTATTTATTTTCAATTAACCACATGAACTACATTCTCATCCATGAGATCAAATGTGATTCTTACTTGATTGAGAAAAGCATAGTCCTTTTCTGATCATTATGTTTCACAACAAATTTTAACTTAACAATTGGTCATATTGATTAAGTAAATGAAGTTGGAAGTTTGAATCATCACAATTATGAAATTAAAGCACTTCTAAACAATTTCAATTTTTCATATGATTATTTCTATTGTAGGGAGAGAGACAAAACAAACTACTCAGATCGCATGGGGAAGATACAATAAAACATGAATTTATATATAAAAATAAGTTTACACAACAAGAACAAGTAAAACAAATAAAGTACAAACCACTTATCTCAATCTCCTCCCCAAGCAAATCCTTTGAATTCCACACTTTATCTTCTTACAGTATCACTCAATTCTCTCTTAGAAATGTAATGAAGAAGAAATCTCTCACTTCTCATCTTCTGTTACAACTCTAAGAGACTATCTTCTTTTACACTCTTCTTCACTTACTCTCCTCTTCTCCTCCTTCATGCTACCCCTTTTTTGTAATAAAATTACTATTAAATAGCATAGGGTCAAATTTGCAAGAGTCAACTCTGGTAACTTTTCAAAATTCGTCCAAATTCAATGAATTTGAGAGAGAAATCGTTACTGGCGCCTAGGCGATATCTTCTCTGTATAATGGCGCTTAGGCGACATATCCTGGCGCCTAGGTGTCAGATCCCGACACCTAGGCGCCATGTTAACTTTCACAATGGGTCTCTTTTTTACTACAAATTCTTTCTTTTTTGCTTTTTTTAGCTCTAATTCCTCGAACTTATTGTGCCTACAATAAAAACATAAAAATACCTTCCATTAAGCGTAATATCACTAAAAATAGACATTAAATGTGTATGTAAAAGTAACATATTTTTAAACATGACAAACTGCTTCTCTTCTTTTCTCTGACTATAAAACGTAAAGTTTAGGCTATATATATAGATATACATACATAGGAATTGGATGGAATGTATGCAAATCCCCTAAAAATTAATTTCTTTAAAAAATTTTAAATTAAATATTTTGAATGCATTTTATTTATTCTATAAAATATTTAAAATAAATTTTTATTTTAAATTTATCTAATGAAATAACACTCTATTAAAATAATGGAATATTTTCATACATAACACTTAATTCTTATGCAACTACATATCTAACACCTAAACTTTAATTTTATATTTGTGACCTTTTATATATCCATATGTTTTATTTTTTTTAATTAAAATAATAATATTTCTTATGCGATATAAAATATTTAGGAGATTTAATGTAAATAAATAAGAACTTGGTCGTATGTATGCAAATGCCCCTAAAATTAAATTGCCTAGCGTTTCTCCCCGGTCATACTGTTCACATTTTCCTCGCCCCACGGCCCCCGCTTTCTATTCCTCATGGATCTTGCATTCATGGCGGCGGCCCCCCCCCCCCCCCCCGCCACTCTCGCTTCTCTCCCCTTCCTTCCTCTTGCTACAAATCCCTACAAACCGCATCTTCTCTCTTCTTAGATGCTGAACCCACCTCCACATCCTCAACCTCGTCCAACTCTCCTTCCTCGCACCTTCCATCATCGATATCATCCCTTCTCTTCTCCGCTCAGTCCCTCTTCGCCGCCACCCAAATCCACACCAATCTCATCAAATCCGGCATCCTCTTCTCCATCCACACAATTCGCCACCATCTCATCTCTTTATACTCATACTGTCGTCTCCCTTCCTCCGCCTTCAAACTGTTCGACGAAATTCCCCAACCTGGCGTCGTATCCTGGTCCTTCCTCATTTCTGCTTACACCCGCAACGGCCAATGGCGGGAATCACTGCTTTCCTTCTCCAAGATGCGATCTTCCGGCGTTGGCTGCAATGAGTTCACTCTTCCTTCCGTCCTCAAGGCCTGCTCGGCCTTGTCCGATTTCACTGCCAGCAGTCAAATTCATGCCATCGCAGTTCTGGCTGGATTTGAATCTGACCCATTTGTGGCAAACACCCTTATTATGTTTTATGCTGATTTTGGTAAGATCTTCGACTGTCAGAAGCTGTTCGATGCCATTAACGGCAGAAATGTGGTGTCTTGGAACGCATTGTTTTCTGCTTATGTGAAGAACGATCAGCACAATATAGCTGTTGAGTTTTTTAGAGATATGGTGGCGACTGGAATGAGGCCAAACGAATATGGCTTTTCTATTGTCTTAAACGCCTGCACGGGCTCTTATGACTTGGATCGTGGGAGGATTGTTCATGGTTATCTGATTCGGCTCGCCTACGAATCCGACAGATTTACTGCTAATGCACTTCTGGATTTCTACGCAAAATTGGGGGATATTGACTCTGCCTCTCTCGTTTTTGAAGAGATATCTCAGCCTGATATTGTTTCATGGAATGCTTTCATCTCCGGTTGTGTTCTTCAGGGGAAGGATATTCTAGCCATGAACCTGTTCAACCAAATGAAAGAGTCAGCAATGCTACCTAATGAGTTCACTCTATCTAGCATTCTTAAGGCTTCTGCTGGGACTACAATGTTGGATTTGGGTCAGCAAATTCACGCCTTTATGATCAAATCTGGCAACGATTCCGATATTTTCATTGGCGTCGGGCTCGTAGATTTATACGCAAAGTGTGAGCACAATGGCGACTCATTGAAAGCCTTCAACTTGATGCAAGTTCATGATTTGGTTGCATGGAATGCCATCATCTCTGGTTACTCTCACAACAATAATGATTCAGAAGCTCTCTCACTTTTTTCAAGCATGAGGAAGGATGGATTTGGATTCAACAGGACCACTCTGGCATCAGTTCTTAAGTCTGTTGCTAATTCACAGGCATCCACAGCTTGTAAACAAACTCATACTCTTGCGATAAAAGCCGGGTTTCTCTTGGACCAACATGTAGCAAATGGTCTTGTTGATGCTTATGGAAAGTGTGGTTCGTTAGAAGATGCAGGGAAAGCCTTCCATGAATGTCCCTCTGGTGATATAGTCTCCTTCACATCAATGATAACTGCTCTTTCACAAAGCGGGGAAGGTGAGGAAGCCATGAAGCTGTTCCATGCGATGCGCGAAATGGATCTAAAACCAGATTCATTTGTGTGCAGCAGCCTTCTGAACTCTTGTGCAAACCTATCCGCCTCCGAGCAAGGCAAACAGATTCATACTCATGTCGTTAAGATGGGTTTTGTGCTCGATAATTTCGCCAGTAATGCGCTTGTAAACATGTATGCTAAGTGTGGAAGCATAGAGGATGCAACCTCAGCCTTCTCTGAGATTCCTGAGAGGGGAATCGTCTCATGGTCCGCCATGATTGGGGGTCTGGCGCAGCATGGCCATGGAAAGAAGGCCTTAGACTATTTCTATGGAATGCTCAATGAAGGCGTGCCTCCCAATCACATTACACTAACTAGTGTTCTCTGTGCCTGCAACTATGGTGGTTTGGTTACAGAGGCTGAGAAATATTTTAACTCGATGGAGGAGATGTTCGGCATCGAACGAACCTTGGAACATTACGCGTGCATGGTTGATATTTTGGGCCGTGCGGGGAGATTGAGATCGGCAATGGAGCTCGTCGAAAGCATGCCGTTCGAAGCAAATGCTGCCATTTGGGGGGCTCTGCTGGGGGCTTCCAGAGTTCATAACAATGTTGAAATAGGCATGAAAGCAGCTGAGATGCTGCTCATTCTAGAGCCAGAGAAGTCTGGAACACATGTGATCCTCGCCAATATTTATGCTTCAGCTGGAATGTGGAATGAAGTTGCGGGCATGAGAAAACTGATGAGGGAAACCATGGTGAAGAAGGAACCTGGGGTGAGTTGGATTGAAGTGAAAGACAAAGTTCACACCTTTTTTGTTGGAGATAGAAGCCATGAGAGGAGGGAAGAGATTTATGCTAAGTTGGAGGAATTGGGTGATTTGATGAACAAAGCTGGGTATGTTCCTTTGGTGGAAACTGACCTCCATTATGTGGAGAAGTGGGAGAAGGAGACTCTTCTTCTACAGCATAGTGAAAAGCTTGCAGTTGCCTTTGGGCTGATAAGCACCCCTGCGAGCGCTCCCATTAGAATCATGAAGAACCTTAGGGTTTGTAGAGATTGCCATGAGGCATTTAAGTTTATTTGTAAGATAACTGAGAGGAAAATAATTCTTAGGGACATCAACAGATTCCATCATTTTCAGGAGGGGGCATGCTCTTGTGGGGATTATTGGTGAATACTTATAGTAGCATTCGTTTGATGCTAATTTTCATGGAATTTTTTTAATCTTTTGTTAAATATTTTGGAAGACTTTTAGCATTTACAGATTTGAATCTATTCACACATCTTTTTAACTCTTGGTAGTTCTGGTTTGGTTTTAGCTGGATGTTGTCCAAAGCTGGCGTTATGTTTTGGTCACTCGTGTCATTTGCAGACAATGCTTGTTGCATAATATTTATAGAAAAGTAAAAAATAATAATAATAAACCCTAATTTTCTCCAACCAATGTTTGGAATGAGTGCTTCAACCATGGGACGAAACTGTCAAGTTTGAAAGGCCACCATTTTGATTCTGTGAAGATATCTAGTTAGAATTTCTTGACCAAAATTTAGTCAAAAATGACTCTTGAAGTTATTGATTAGCTTCCAGTTAAAGAAGAAAATCAAATGATCGCATAGCACTTGAAAATCAGCTTTATTTTACAAGCTGAATTGTTGTTTATGTGAAACCACATAAATTATATAAGTTTTGATTGGAAACTTCAATCTAGATAAGTAATTTTAGGGGCATTTACATGCATATCACCGAATTCCTATGCATTTACATATCTAACAACTAAACATCATTGTTTTACATTTATACAACCTAAATATTTCACACCACATCAAAAATGTTGTCAGATGTGCAAGTGCATAAGAATTGAGTGAGTTTTATGCAGGTAAATCTTCCTTAATTTTAGTGATTTTGATTGATATTTGAAGTTACTTTTAAAGCTTTATCATATTAGAATCTTCAAAATAAAACTTGTATAATTATTTTAAGTAATGCATCGACCAAAAACTCTGCACAAATTGCATGAGAATATAAGATAAATTGGCTTATCTACAACAGCATTGTTATATGTTGATGTCACTACTTATAAAAATAATTGTGTTAGTGTTTTATTATAAGTTTGTCTTTGTTGAGTATACTGCAAGAAATGCCATTATCAATTTAACAAAATCAGGGGGTTATTTTTTGTGTTCTATCATTGTATTATTTTAAGAGAGCAACTCACCATACAACAAATAAACTTCATCCCAACATATTATTTATCAAAAAGGCTTTGGATAAAGAATACATGTCACACATTGCCTTTATTTTTGAGACTCCTAGCATCATGAAAATTAAATGAGGTAAATATTGATCAATTATTCATTGCTATTCTCACTTGTTTATATTTTAAAACTCCGAATGAAATCATTTTGCATGAGTACTGACCATAAATTTATGATGTTAACAATATTATTGAAAGGATGGATAGCATGATGAGCTCTATTCATTCTATGCTATTCACAAGCATCATGTTGGGAGAGATAAAAATGAAAATTATATTTCTTGAATGGGCACGTCAATGAAATTGCAAAATAAGCATAATTTAGTTGGCATTCTTTTTTATTTATATGATTTTATAGATTCTAGTTCAATTGTGGCACCTTAAAACTTTGAGTTTGAAATATGCTTAGAAGAATTTTATGCCAAGTGCCTAGATTCTAAATTTGATATACTAAAAGGTTGCAAAATGCTCTCCATGTAATTTAAAAATCTTTCAAAAATATCAAGAAATGCTCACTATATCCATCATAATAGTAGCTTCAAAATCAACTTTTTAGTATGGATGAATAAACAGTTATATTTCACACCAACAAAAAAAAAACACACACACCCACACACACACACACATAATGCCTTAGTTCACATTGAAAATTAAATTCAATAAGCTTACAAATCATCAAAAGAGCCAATAGAAAGTCATTTAATCACCATATCATACTTCTTACTGCAATGCATATGTAATATTTAACTTAGCTGTTATAATTTTAATCTAACTTCAAAGTTGTACATTAAAAATGTGTTTGCACGAATCTTAAAGATATATAGAGGTCGCCCTCCAATGACTACCCTTAACTGCGCGCCCAACTTTCTCATACCGGGAGGATAATACCTCGAAGGCAAATAAGAGGAGTTAGACTTCTAAGAAGTCTAACTGACCAGGCTCATGAATACAAATCTGACGCTCTCCATCCAGGAAAGACCAAATGGACAAAACAAACCGTCTATTCCAGAGTAATTGGCACCAGTCCCAGCATACTGCCACCTGGTTTGGTAGCCACCCAACCTAGGGGTCTCCAGGAGTAATTCTCTCCTGGCCTAATGGCCACCGAACCTCATAGCCGCCCGACTTAGTGGCCAGTCGGCCCCTTCCGACTGGAGATTTGTGGCCCCCATGTGCCATATTTATGTATAGAATGAAATACCACTGCCGCCCCTGCGTACTCTAGAGGTACATCATGTAATTGTACGAAAACTCATTCATATAAATAAATGTTCCATTTCATGAATAAAGGTTACAAAAATTTATTGTACATTACTCTAATATTGTTCTCTTTTCTCTTTCTCTCTTCCTTCTCTCTTCCTTCAGCGTTTTATCCCTTAGATGCATCTCCTAGATAGTTTTGGATTCAACATTTAGGGCCTCTCATGAACAACATCCCACTCCTTAGGGCATTGGCTGAAAAGAAAAGAATATATACATAATTCCTTTTTTTTTAAATTTTAATTTTTTTATTTAAGTGCCTCAATTAACATTCTTTTTGCTAGTGTACAGAACCTCAAAAATATGGAGTGTCCTTCCTAAGTAATAATGAAGTTTTCAAAAGCGCTCAATCAATCCATTTTACGATCCAAGGTCATTGACGACTAAAAATTACTGCAAAGTAATTCAGCTACAAAACAAAAATATACGCATTAAGTAATAATACAATTAAAGATTATCGTGTATTGATCCCACGAGGAAAGAGTTAAGAATTATTCTGGGCAGCAAATCTCTAGTTTACTATACTTCTAAACCTAGTTTAGCATGATCACAAATAAGAGATGGTTTCCTAAAATCTTACTTAAAAGCGAAAACAAAAGATAACGTGTTTGGAAAAGACGAGAAAAAAATGACAGAGAAATCTTACCGTTCTTCAAGGTGTGTGAGGCTCGCGCCCCTGTGATTTAAGTAATGTGGTGATTCATGGATTTACTAAAATTTCCACTATGTAATTATTGTCAACAGGGATAGAAAACTCTCCTTATATCTATGTCTAGGTAAAAAAATGCTAGAATTCATGAAATTAAGACTTTTTCAATCCCTATGACATCTCATAGATTTGTTCAAATCCCTTTTCTAAGTTGAAAAACCCAGATAAAATATGTTTATTATTATTTGGATTTTGTGGTTAACCATTTCATTCCTCTGTGCAATGGGCAGAAGTCGCAGATCACAAAATATGTTAACATCCAAATTGATAAGATCATGAATAAATGAAACTCTATAGTTAACACAACAACAAAAAACCCTAATGTCTTACGAAAATATACAGAGAAAGAAATCATACGAGAAAATCACAAAAATCACATGTCATGAATCACAAAAGCACGAAAGGAAATTTAGCTACACATATTGGAAAGAATGAGGGAAAAACTTTCCATTGAACTCATCATTGCAAGTAAAACAGAAAGTAAAAACTTATAATACCAAGTGTTCCTTCTTCTACAACAACTAACCCCTCTCTCATACAAAACCTCCTAGAAAATATTGAAAAAATACAAAATGGAAAATATGGAAAAACACCAATACCACCTCAACCTCAAGGGAGGAAGAGAATCCTAAGGAAAACTCTCCAAAATCTCTTTCTAGTGGTTTCCAACTCTCCTCTCCTCCAAAGTCCAAGAAGAACACAAGAATGTCTTTATAGATTAATTGATGAATTTGGTAAGAAAATTTCTTGCCAAAATAAATTTCCACTCCGTTAGTGTGGTCACGTCGAGCTTCTTAAGTGAGCAGTGTGGTCACGCCTGTACTAGCATGGCCATGTCGCAAGCGTGACTACGTAGTGGGTCTGCATTTCTGGCATGGTAATGTCGAATCTAGGTAGCGTGGTCACACCATTGCTATCGATCATTTGGTGTGGCCACACCTCTCCTAGGTGTGGCCACGTCGCTTTAGGCCGCTTTTACATCAAATTTTCACATTCTAAAATGTTCATATTCAACACCTATAACCTATACAACATCAACAAAGTCTTTCTAAAGCGTAAATCTATGATAAATACCTAAAAATAATAGGTAAAATACAAGGTAAAATGCAGGTGAAATAACATAATATTGATGCATGTCAACACCCCCAAACTTACCTCATTGCTTGCCCTTAAGTAATCTCATAACTCAGTTGGGGTAACATGAGAGGCCCATGAGAAAAACAAGTACTCATGTAGGTTTCCAATCTAGTCAGTTTGTTCATCAAAATCAAATAAAAGTGTTTAAATGTCATTTCAGGGTCAATTATTCTTAATGATTAATAACTTAATCTTTTCTTTAATTTCCTTCGTTCTGCCCTTAAGAATTTCCAAATATTCTTAAATTGATGTTTAAAATAACTTCACTATCCTCTAATGTATTTAACATAATTTCAGTGAAATTTACCTAACTTAATCCTACTTAACTTTTCTCATCAGGATAACACTAAATATGTTTCATTAGAGAATCATGAAAAAGTATTATCACCTAAGTTCTACTAGACACCCTCCGGTTCATTATTTCTTTAAATTTGTTGTGTCAACCTCAAGCTTCTATAGGATTTTTACTTTTTTTACTTTGTCTTGTTCTTTTTTTGTTTTTTTTTTCTTTTTTTCTTTCTTCTGAAAATTATTATATCTGTCGGTAACATTTTTCTTCTTTTATTTTAATTATGAAGATGGTTAGTGTTCTTTAAGCAATAAATCTCAAAAGAATGATTGTCTAATGTCACTCATTTAAGTTTTCATTTTAGTTAAAAATTAAGACAACATTAATTGGTTAAAAAAAATGGAAAAGATTTAAAACATCTTTGGTTTGCTACTTAATATTTTAATTACAACTTATTGATAATTTTGAAGTTTCCTTAAGAACAATTAGAAGTTGTTAAGTTTTGAAACCTAATTATTAAAACATTAAGGTTAATCTTTTCTAAATGTCATTTTTCCATTTTAAAAGAATATTTGATAAGCATGTTGAATTAATCAGAATTTCTAGTAGGAGTTACCTTATTAATAT